TTCAGTGGGTCCAGGTGGTTGAGTATCAGAGGGTTCCATCTCATTTCCCTTTGGGGTTGCTATAGGTGATCTGGAAGTCTGGTTTTGAGACTTATGTTTTCTCATTTTGACTGAGGCAGGGGGCTGTTAGCACCTGCATGGATTACCTCCTCTGAGCTGGGAGAGGTGGGACAGGGGCCAGGAGCAGCGCTAGGGATGGTGGCCCAAAAGCCCTTTCCTGTGGGCTGGGAGCAGTGGGAGGGATGGTGGCCGGGAAACCCCTTCCTCTGGACCAGGAGCAGTGGGATGGCACCTCAGAAGACCCTACTTCTAGGCCGGGAGCTGTGGGAGGGATGGTGGCCTGGAAGCCCCTTCCTCTGGCCCAGGAGCAGTGGGACAGAAGGTGGCCCAAAAGCCCTTTCCTCTGGGCCAGGAGCAGCAGGAGTGATGGTGACCGGGAAGCCCCTTCCTGTGGATCAGGAGCCGTGGGATGGCGTCTCAGAAGCCCCTACCTCTGGGCCGGGAGCAGCGGGCCTCAGTACCGTGGTCTGGTTGCCCGGTGTCCTCTGCATCTTTGTAGTGTGGAACCAGGTCGCTGTATAGAGGAGTGGGGCAGGGTGGGGGCGCGGGTCCAGGGGATTGTTGTCGGGGCATGGGCTGAATCAGCATGTTCTGTGTGACTCGGGACCTCGGTAGTGCATGCACAGACCTGCCTGTCTGCAGCGGGCTGATTCGGCCTGTTCCATGTGACTCGGGACCTCAGGAGGGCGTGCGCAGACCTGCCTGTCTGCAGCAGGCCGATTTGGCGTGTTCCACGCGACTTGGGACCTTGGTAGGCCATGAGCAGGCCTGACTGCAGCAGGCTGATTCGGCGTGTTCCATGTGATTCAGGACCTCGGTAGGGCATGGGCAGACCTGCCTGTCTGCAACGGGGTGATTCAGCGTGTACCGTGTGACTCGGGACCTCATTAGGGTGTGCACAGACCTGCCTGTCTGCAGCGGGGTGATTTGGCATGTTCCATGCTACTTAGGACCTCGGTAGGGCGTGGGCAGACCTGCCTGTCTGCAGCGGGGTGATTCAGCGTCTTCTGCGGGACTGGGGACCTCAGTAGGGGGTGCACCAGGAATACAGTTTTTAATGTGTGTCCTGGAATCAATGAGACACGGTTCCTTGTTTTTTTGTCCTCTGTGTCTCTTATGCCTGTTTTCTTCTCTGTCCCCTGGCATTACAGCAGGGACTCAGCAGTTGGTGGCAGAACTGAGACTGTCCCATCATGTGTGTGCACGTGCCAACTTAGAACCATGTCCCCACCTCCGGCACAGGTGACTGCAACAGGTTTCCAATTGATCTTCTTCCCCTATGTTCCCTCCCATTCAAGTCAGTGTCAGATTATTTTCTAAAATTATCACTGGGGCCTTTCCACTACTCTGCAAGGCAGTGTTTGTCACAGTTACTGTAAGTTTAGAGACTCCTCTCTTTGGCTTGATGAATCTCTACAATCTGGCCCCAGTCTCCTTAACACAAAGCATCGGTGCTACTGAATGTGCTTCCAAGACATCCTTGTGACCTGCTGTTCTGGCCCTTCTCTCTCTCAGCCTATTATGCTCAATGTGTGAGCCTCTTTCCTAGATGCCTCCCTGGGTCAGGCCAACCCGGAGGGATCTTTCCTGACAACAGCAGGCTGAGTGTCTCAACCCCCATGGTCTGGCAATCAGACCTTGGAACATTTACATTTAGTGTTCGTATTTGTTTTTATTATTTTTTAAATTAATAAGGTATATGTTAAAATTTTCAAAAGGTGAGTCTGGAGGTGTAGCTCAGTGGTAGAACACAGGCTTAGCATCCATGAGGCTCTGGATTTGATCCCAGAACCAAAAGTAAAATGGAAAAAAGTTCAGAAGTTCAAAATGTACAACACAATAGACAGCGAAACATATAGTGAAACTGATACTGGTGAGAAGCAGGTCTCTTTCTCAACCTACATATCTAGCCTCTCACTGAAGGGAATCATCATCACAGGGCTTGGATTATTTTGCTAAGCTGAGAATGGAACCAGGGGCTGGCATATGGTAGGCAGGCACTCTACCACTGAGCTACATCCCCAGGGCCATTACAGGTTCTAAGTATCCTTCCATTTCTACAGTACACAGGTCTCCTTGCCTTTCTAAAAAGATACAAATTGCCTAGTGTGGTGGTGTATGCCTGTAATCCCAGCACTCAGGAGGCTGAAGCAGGAGGATTGCCATGAGTTTGAGACCAGCCTGGGCTGCAAAGTGAGACCCTGTCTCAAAAAACCAAAAAAATAAAAATAAAGACACAAATTGTAGCATACTACACACACTATTCTACCCCTTTTTTCTTTTATTTAGCAATAAATCTTGGGAAGATTGTACCTATCAAGGATGGGTATGCCCCATATTCAAAAAGTAACTTTTAAGTTACTTAAGTATCTTTGTATCTCTTTCAGTGATTGTTCTTTACTTTAGGGGTCACGAACACTTTTCAAAGCTGGTGAAAATGTACACATTCTCTTTCCAGAGTAAAAACATGCATAAATCCTTACAATGCTCAAAATGTTCCATATATATTGAGAGGGTGGTCATATACTTCATGAACCCAATCCGTGGAGAACAGGAAAGATTATAAACTATGGTCACATCCACAAAGATCTTAGAATCTTACTGAGGAGAAAGACATGGACAATGTTTCTTATGAGAGAATATGGCAGTATGTCCCTGACTCACCACTGGGGTGTTAGCCCCTGGGTATTTAAAATACAAAAGATAAATATGATCTTATCTGAGATTTCTTACTGAATTAATCTCTTGTATTTTTTATATGAGACAAAAGCATGACATAAAAAGGTTTACTTAGCTAGTGAAGCTATGTCCTTGTAAGATTTCTCTCCCTTAAACAGTTAATGCATCTTATAAATACCAGCACATCTGACAAACTGAGACTGAGAGCAACTGAATCCAGGCTGAGAAGGAATGAGGCCATTGCTCATTTTTCTCCCTGTTACCTGCAATATGGCTGAGCCCAGAGTTGGATGAAATACCTTCCCTTGTCCCATCATTAACTACTACTTAGCCAATTTAATAAAGGTTCCGCAGAGACCTTTCCTCATGGCCCTTCCCAGGAGAAAACTGGTAAAGGCAGCTCCCACAGCACAGCTGTAAGGCTGAACCCACAGGGAAGCCCACTGAACCTCTGAACACTCACCAGGGATCTGGCTCTCCCGAGGAAGTGAGGGCATGCCGCCTGTGGCGATCAGGATGTGAGGAGCAGTGTATTTTTTCCCATTGACCTCTACCGTGGGCTGGGGATCACTTGTGAATGTTGCATAGCCATGGATAATTTCTATATTAGACTGGAAGGAAACACCACGTTAGCCCGTTCTTCAGATAAACAAAAACACCCACTATAACATGTAAGGTCTTTCATTTCTCCACTGAAGTTTGATTTTCTGCAATTCTGTTGCTCATGAACTCCTGACTAGCAACTGATACTCAAGGTAAGGGGGTTGCCAGTAGATGCCAGAAGTGCACAATAAGAATAAATAAAGGTGTGGTCCTGGGCCAAAACCTGGAAAGCAAAAAATACTTGCAAGTCACTCCCATAAGGAAAAAGGTAATAGCTTTTCCTCCTTGAGTTCAGGGAGAAAAATCTTCCTCACACGAAAAGAAACTGAAAAATGATCTGTCTGGGAGAGAGGAGGAAGACAAAAGAATACAGGTGAATAGAGCTGAGAGAAACACTCCGGCCATGGAGGAAGATGCACTGCTTCTGATTTCTCAAAAACAGGACAATCCTTCTAAAACTGCATGACAGTGGAGTTCTCCGCTAGAGCTGCAGAGCACTCAAGACAGATTTGTTCCTACTGGCATTCTGTATACCAGGCCTTCCATCTGGGTGGGCTGGTGGGCTTCTGCCAGCCATGATGCGTGTCCTGGCATGCAAAAGAGGGTGTCTTATGAGGATAATGGAACCATGTAAGTGTGATCAGGCAATAGAACATTTCAACACTTGGGAACATGTTTGGTTCTGACAGAGTTATTGCTTCCTTTCCAACCACCCTCCATGCCTGTTCCTGCAGGTGCCTGGCTTAATCAAGCTGAATTAAGTTCAGTGCCAAAACCCACAAGCCTGAAGAACATCTTTTCTTTGGGGGCAATGAGTTCCAGCGAGGTGTCAGACCAACAGGGGTGTGGAGTGAGTGGCAATAGTACACACAGTAACTTGTGGGAAGATTTTTACTTCCTACAGTATTAGAAAGTTTCAGCTGCTATGCAGAATTTCGGGATCAGCTGTAATTCCTTCACGATAAGGTCCTCATAAGTTCTATTATACACACCAAAATTTCAAAGCATTAAAAAATGCTAATTTCTCAGTAATGTCCCCCACAAACACCCTTGGTGGTACTGGGGATTGAGCCCAGGGCCTTCTCAATGAGCTACATCCCTAGCCCTTTTTTATTTACAGACATAGTGTCACTAAGTTGCTAAATTGTCCAGGCTGAGCTCAAACTTCCAATCCTCCTGCCTGAGCCTCCAGGAAGGCCACAAATAGAGGCATGAGTCATCACACCTGGCTATTTTTCCAATCTGTTTGTTTGTTTGTATGTTTTGTTTGTCAGTACTGGGGACTGAACTCAGGACCTTGTGCTTGGCAGGCAGGCATGGCACCACTGAGCTACATCCCTGGCTATCTGTCTGTTTTGAAATGAGGTCTCAATGTTTCTCGGCCTTTTGGCTAAGATCAAGGTAAATGAGGTCTCATCATGTAGTTCTGGCTGGCTTTGAACTCAATATATTAGCCTAGACTGACCTTGAACTTGCAATGATGCTCCAGCCTCAGCCTCCTAAGTGCTGGGATTACAGGCATGTGCCTGATTCCGATCTCTTATAAAAGTATTTTACTAGCTCCATTTAAGAAATTTGATGTGGCCCTTCCTGAATGGCACCAAAGCGTACACCATGAGTGAGTTGCCAAGAATCCCCAGCTAACTAGACTATATGTTTCTGTAATTTCTACTGGCTGCGAGCTGCATTCAAAGGATCCTGGGGACCAACAAGCCACTCAAGGGAGACTGTGATCTTTGAGGATGTAGCGGTGAACTTTACCAAGGTAGAATGGGCTTTGCTGAATCCACCCCAAAAGAAGCTCTACAGAGATGTGATGTGGGAAGCATGGATACTTATGACTGGTATAGCAAGAACCTGCGGTAGCCAGCAAATGGAAGAACAGTACAAAACTTGTTCAAGAAATCTAAGGTAATTTTCCCTCACAAGAAAAAGGAATATTCCTTGAGAGTCAATGTGAGAGCAGAAATATTACAACCAAGGAAACTGAAGAAATGAGGCTGTGTTCCAATTTATTTAATCTCACAAAAATTTCCAGAGGTGCATATAGTTTCATTTTGTATAATGTTGAAAATGAATACAGAAACATTCCCATATAGGAAACTAAAGTAGTACTGATATTATGCAATAAGTGACCCTAGCTGCTCTATTCATATAAAAATAATTCATAATCATAGAAGTTCATAATCAACATCATAGAAATGTATGAGATTGCATTTCAGTATTGTGTATAGGGAGATATGAAATGAATAAATTTTGAACCTTTCCAGGAACTTATCTTTAAAATATCCATGTATATATGTGAATATGAGATGTTCACTATCTAGAAAATTGCTAACATGGAATCAGTATTCAAAATGCAAGTGAGTGCTAGGGTTGTTGTAATAGATGTTTTCAAAACATACTCCAGAATATTGAGCTGTTCATGTTTTAAAACTCTTAGAAATTAGCCGGGGATTTAGCTCAGTGGTTTCACTGCCTGCTGCGCAAGCACAAGGACCCAAGTTCAATCCCCAGTACCAAAAAAACAACAAAAAAAAGTGTCACAACTCTTAGAAATTAGCCTCATACATTGTTGATGGGAATGTAAAATGGAACCATTATGATAATCAATATACAGATGTCTCAAAAAGTAAAAATATAAATTTTCATTGGATCCAAGTGTACCTCCCTGGCTATATTCTGAAATGAGTTAAAAATCATGAAATTTTAGTGATACATGCATTCCAGTATTCAATGAAGGGCATCTATGGGTATTCACACTATCTAAGTGCTGGAAGTAATTCAGAACAGTCAAGCTCTGGAAAGAGCCTAGATGCCAATCACTGGATACCTGGATGATTAAAATGTGGGATAGGCTTAGCATGGTACTACATTCTTGTAATCCCAGCACTCTGGGAAGCTGAGTCAGTAGGATGACAAATTGAAGTTCAGCCTGAGCAAATTAATGACCAATAACAATCTCTTTCAAAATAAGAAAGAATAAAGCTGGAAATATAATTCCCTGCTGAGACCTGTGTTTAATTCTCACCATGAGAAAACTATGCTATAAAATCAGTCAAAAAGAAACATTTATATCATTTGCCAAAAATAAAATAAGATGGAACTACATTTCATAATGCTAAGTGAAACAAACCTTATATATGTAAACAATGCGGGAAAGGATTCAGAACACACAGTCAGTGCCATAGTCATGAAAGAACTCACACCAGGGAGAAACCCCATGCATGGAAGCAATGTGGAAAAGGATTTGCTGAGAAGTCCTCATTTGAAAGACTCAGAGGATCTCACACTGGGGAGAAACCCTATGTATGTAAGCAATGTGGGAAAGCATTCAACATACACAGTCACTGTCAAAGTCATGAAAGAACTCACACTGGGGAGAAACCCTGTGTAAGCATTGTGGGAAATCTTTCAACCAAAAGAGTGGTTGTCAAATACATGAAAGAATTCACACTGGGGAGAAACTCTATGTATGTAAGCATTGTGGGAAATCTTTCAGCCAAAGCAGTCACTTTGGAGCACATGAAAGAATTCACACAGGTAAGAAACCTTATGTATGTAAGCAATGTGGGAAATCTTTCAATGGAAAGAAAGATTGTCAAATACATTAAAGAATTCACCCTGGAGAGAAATCTTATGTATGTAAGCATTGTGGGAATTCTTTCACCCAAAAGAAAAATTGTAAAATACATAAAAGAATTCACATTGGGGAGAAACCCTATGTATGTAAGCATGGTGGGAAATCTTTCAAACAAAGAGAGATGGTCAAATACATGAAAGAATTCACACTGGGGAAAAACCCTATGTATGTAAGCACTGTGGAAAATCTTTCAACCAAAAGAGAGGTCATCAAGTACATGAAAGAATTCACACAGGTGAAAAACCTCATGTATGTAAGCATTGTGGGAAAGCATTCAGCACACTCAGTCATTGTCAAAGAAATGAAAGCATTCACACTATGGAGACCCTATGTATGTAAATGATGTGGGAAAACACACCCTACAGTAAAATATTTTCAAATACATGAAAGACATGATAATGATGAGAAACTACGTGTACTGGTAATGTGGGAAATCTTCAGCCAGCAGAGCACTGGTGAACCCATGAAGAAATTCACACTGGAAAGAAACCCTATGTAAGTAATGTGGGAAAGCACTCAATACACAAAAGTGCCATCAAATACTTGAAAGAAGGCACACTAGGGCAAACTATGTATGTAGGCAGTGTGGGAAAAGATTTGATGCAATCTCTTCATTTTATAGACAAAAAATTCACACCAGGGTGTAACTATGAAAGAAATGTATAAAAAAGTACATCTAATGCATTGTCAAATACATGAACAAGATGCCACTGGGGAAAAAGCCTCTGTAAGCAATGTTGGAAAGCATTCAGCATACACAGGTATTAAAAACATGGAAGAAGTCACATGGTGTAGAAACCCTACATATGTATGTGTATATATATATATAAACCATATATAAACCATATATATATGTTGAAAATTCTGTGAAAATTACTCATATATTGGAGAACTATAGAAATAATATGAATAATATGAAAATTATGATGTCAATATTTTTTCAGTAATATTCTAGAAAATATAATCTCAGATGGAAATACCCTAAAGTGATTCATTCCATGTTTTTCAGTAAATTACTTGTAAATATCTGATGTATTGATCTGTGGTCTTTAGAATGAAAAAAATTGAGATGACATAATTATATATTTTTGTGTATGTCAATGTCTCTGAACTTAACACATACTGTCTCCTAATTAAACAAGGTGAATTGAAGTGTATTTTTCACTTCCAAGTAGAGTTAGTATTTATGTAGTTTTTTATTTTGTTTTTACAATTGGGAGGAATAAAACCTGAAAAAGTAAATTTTGGTAATTGCTTTTTAATTGTTGGGATTTCCCACTAGCTTTCATTTGAATTTTGCTGGTGTATACACTCCATATTCTGAGTAACAAGATATTTTTGTATTTGATATTATTTTATGTTTGATGGAGAGAGGCTTGTGAATGTGTTTTTGAGACAGTTCAATTGTTTGCACACAACGTGTACATTAGCAATATTATGTTTTTCATATCCTGACAAAACACCTGGATATATCCCAACATAACTGCATATTATATTAAGTACATAATTTTGCCTAGTTGCTTTCATGTTGGAGTCAATATTATGGGTTACATAAAATTTTGTTTTCTTTCCACGAACATTTTACTTTTCATGCCTATATTATGATGGCTTTTAATTTTGTGGTAATTTTTCCAACATCTGTATCTAAAAATATATCATACTACTTTGAGTTTCTGATTGCCACAGGTCAGCAAGAACATAACTTGTCTGCAAATGGACATAATAAATTGTAGTAATAAATCTCTCCAAAAGGTAAAAAAAAAAAAATTTGACGTGATACCTTAGCACATCAAGTTCTATTTCTACAACACAAGTCCTCCAGCCTTACAAGTGTCTTGTATCCATGTACCAACAGGACTATAGGCCCGCCGGGGATTTAGCTCAGTGTGTGACCATGTCTGCCTGGCAAGCTCAAAGTCCTGAGTTCAATCCCCACTTGGGGAGGGGGACGGACACTATAGGGCCTTAAGTGTCTCCTCCCTGCCCCAAATTGAGATTTAAGGTCAGAAAATATCATCCTCAAACAAATATATCCAAGGAGTAAGAAGAATCAACATAAAAAAGTATATGAGGTTAGCCATCAGTAGAAGCAATTCACCCTAAAAAATTGATTCATAAACATGCTATTAATGAGATGAGGATGGACCAAATATTATGAATGTACCATCATCTAAATAAAACCCAAGCTATATGGAAACTATGAAGGGAGACAACAGAGACAAATGAAAGGTGTCGGGATACACACCTGGCAAAGGGGAGGAGGGCTGGTAGTATACAATCTGCCAATGCCACTAGCACGGCCCTGGATGGAAAATGCATGACATCCAAGCGTGCAGCTGGAAAAAAGCCTCAGGAGAGTACAGGGCACCGTATATTTGCTGGAGGCAAATACACTTTTTTGCCCAACTTTCTTGATCACATCTCATGCATTAGACGTCTGAATCATAATTTGGCCTCCTGAGCAGACTGAGTCACCAAGCACAACACTGTTCTGAGCAAATGAGCAATGGCAGGTTTTCAGCCAGATAGTGCTGCTGATTTTAACTAGTACACTGGGAGACTGATATATAAAATAGTCTCTCCTGCTTGATTTCTGAACTTAAGTGAAGAATGAAACCCACTTGAATCTATAGGGTAGACTGGCTATGGACCTAGGCACATACCACCCATGCTCCTCAGGAAAGAGACTGGTACATGGGGCCAGAGGCTTCCTCTCTGGCAGGTCAACTTCAAAATCATTAATCAAAAAGAAATAGAAGGGGCTGGGGATTTAGCTCATTGGTTCTGGCGCCTGCCTCTCAAGCAGAAGGTCCCGAGTTCAATCTCCGGTACCAAAAAAAAAAAGAGAGAAAGAAATAGAAGCAGTAAGATATTTCAAAATATATCAAAAAGTTACATTTTCACCTGGCCAAACCTGCCTGCCCACTCCAAGGGAGCAGCTCCCCCACACCCCCAAGTTCAAGACTTAGCGTACGAACCCTGGTGAGATTGTTTTGATAGATGGTGTTCAGGCGGCTCACGTAGGCGTCCCGCTTCTCCTTTATTACACTACAACGAAAGCAGAGTCAGTACTCAGACAGAGGACTGTCCTCTCTCAGTCAGTAACAAAGCACCCACTCATGAACATCCCTGAGCAGAAAATCAGCCTATCAACAAGAATGAAGTCAGCAGGTGTCTCTGAAGACGCCTGCTTTCCCGTGTGTGGAGATCTGTATTCTACCCCAAGGAGAAGGCCCAGCTGGAATCCACAACCTGTGGGCCTCTTTCTACAGAGAACCTAAGGACTGCTATTTTGGCATGACACCAGTGCACAGTGGCCACTCAATATACTGTGCTGAAAAAATGGTTAGATTTGCTAAAAAGGTTTTGAAATTTTGACAGCTTCAAAGTTTTATGGCAGTTTTTAAAAAAAAGTTAAACATAGAATGGCCGTATTACCCAGAAGAATTAAAAGCAGGGACTCAGACAGATACTTGCACACCAATGTTCATAGCAGCATTATTTGTGATAGTCACAGCACAGAGACTACTCTAAGGTCCATGGACAGGTGGGTGGATAAACAAACTGGTACAGCCTACAATGAAATATACTCAGCAGTGAAGAGCACGAACTACTGGCACAAGCTACAGCATGGGCGAACCTTGAACATGCTAGATGCTAAGTGAAATAAACCCGATAGAAAAGGAAAAGTTTTATATGATTCTACATGCACGAAGGACATTAAGTCACACAGACAGAAAATAGAATGGAAGTACCAAGAGCTGGGGGAAAAGGGACAGGAAGGGTTCTGGTATAGCGGGTACAGAGTTTTTGTTTGGGATGGTGGGAAAGCTCTGGAAATGGATGGTGATGATGGTTACGTGTATGCTTCAAAGAGATTAAGATGACCAGCATGTCCTTAATGTCACTGAATTGAACACTTGAAAATGGTTAAAATGTTCAGGGATACTGGCACACATCTATAATCCTAGCTAGTTAGAAGGCTGAGACAGGAGGTTCACAAGTTTGAGGCCAACCTTGACAACTTAGTGAGGCTATCTCAGAATAAAAACTAGAAGGGGCTGAGGGGAAAGCTCAGCGGTAGAGCAGTTGCCTATTATGAGGTGAAGCCCTGGGTTCAATTCCACACCACAAAAAAAGTAAATTTTTTGTGTATTTTACCACAATAATACCCCCCACCAAAAAGCTCATTGCTTACTTATGAAAATATCCATTTATAAATTGAACCCTTTGAGCACTTACCGCCAATTGAATTTACTCTCACAACTCTGAAAGCCATAATCAACGTGATCATGTATGAACTCAGAGTGGACTGCTGTGTTCCACATGACCTGTTTAAAAAAAAAATAGGAAGACAGAAATCATGAACAAATGGAAACTATGTTACAGCAGATAAAAATACTGACTTTCAAATTAAAAGTAAACTAAACTCACTGAAAGTTCAGAAGTATGACCAGATGAATTTTTGCAGGAAAAATTTTAAATGTTACATTCGGAAATACTTTTATTCTGATCATGATTTATCAAATATGAAAAAGGAGTGTGGAAAGAGGGAGAAATAAGAAGTCTACCTTTTTGGGTACACATCCAACATTCACCTAGGGAAAAAAAACAAAAGACACAATGTTAAGAATATTTAAACTTGTGCCAGGCACGGTAACACATGCCTGTAATCCCAGCACTTGGGAGGCTGAGGCAGGAGGATTGCTGCAAGTTCAAGGCCAGGCCGGATTACATAGTGAGTTCAAGGCCAGCTTAGAAATACATAGTGAGAACCTGTTTTAAAAAAAAAAAAAAAAGGAAAAAAAAGAATATTTAAACTCTAGTTATTAAACCCTAAAAAATCAAACTAAGAGACTCCTCTGAATTCTAAGGCACAATGAACTATACTCCATAGTTACTCCCTTTTTTCTATGATAGAATTGGAAAAGATAATAGTTTTCTTTTGGTTCAGAGGATTGAACTCGGGACCTTGTACTTGTGAGGCAGGTGGCAGAGCTACTGAGCTAAATCCCTGGCCCAAGAATTTTTCTTACGTGATGGAATAGAAAATTTTTACTCATTAGTATTTTTTCAAGAAAAGCATTCATTGAGAAAGGAAAAAAAGGCAACTAGATCACTTGATCAGCTAGAGGATTTCTGGGAATGTTGCTGTGGAGTATGTGGATAAAACACCCAGAAGGGCCTTTCCATAAAACTGCTAGTGGAAATTTACCCTGCTCCTCAGGGTGAAGGCAGTGAGATTCATCCCGCTCTAATACCTTAAAAACGTACCACACAAGGATCAAAAATTTTACTCTCAATCTTCTGGCAGTCCACACACAGAGAAAACCAATACCTGTAAGATCTGAGTAAAAACTCATCAGATATTTAGGAAAACAACTATTCCTACAGTTAGAATAAGAAATTTCTCCCCAGAACTTATACACAAGCTGCAGCATACATCCTAACACATATATTTCTGTGCACATCTGTTAATTTTTTTTTTACCATTTCTTGTTATTTTTTTAAAGATATTCATGCTCCTCTAAAGAATACCTTTATTGTGTTTATACTGATAATTTCAGCAACATAGCCAGTTTTTTAAAAATATAAAAACCCTACACTGGGAGTCCCTTTAGCAAGCTGTTCAGGTCCTCTCCCAGGTTCAACAACCTGAGGACTGTTTGCTTTCACTTTACAATAAAGGCTGCTTATCCCAATTGAAATCCCAGCAGCATACTTCATGGACCTTGAGAAAACAATCCAAAAATTCATTTGGAACAAGAAGAGACCTAGAATAGCAAAAGCAATTCTAGGTAATAGAGACATGGCAGGGGGTATCACAATCCCCAACTTGAAACTATACTACAAAGCTACTGTGATAAAAACAGCATGGTACTGGCAAAGAAACAGACCTGAGGACCAGTGGAACAGATTAGAAGATGCAGAAACAACTCCAGACACACTCAGCCACCTCATCCTCAACAAAGGAGCCAAACACCCTCACTGGAGGAAAAACAGCCTCTTTAATAAATGGTGCTGGAGAAACTGGGTTTCAACTTGCCAAAGACTAAAACTAGACCTATATCTCTCACCATGCACTAAACCAAAATCAAAATGGATTAAAGATCTAAATATTAAAACAGAAACGCTGAATCGGCTAGAACAGAGGTTAGGTAGAACTCTTGAAGACATTGGCGTAGGAAAAGATTTTATGAACAAAACCTCAGTTGCCTGTGAACTAGCACAGTCAATCAACAAGTGGGATCTCTTCTTACTGAAAAGTTTCTGCACAGCAAGAGAAACCACCAACAGTGTGAAGAGACAACCCACAATGTGGGAAAAAATCTTCACCTGCTTTTCCTCAAAGGTCTACTATTTCGAATCTATAAACAACTTAAAAAAATCAAACCTCCCAAATTTAAAGACCCAATCTGAAAATGGGCATCTGAAATGAACAGACATTTCTGAAACAAGGAAGTAGAAATGGCAAATAAACATATGAAAAAGTGTTCAACATCACTGGTCATTCCAGAGATGCAAATGAAAACAATGCTGAGATTCCACCTCACCCCAGAAAGAATGGCTGCTATCAAGAAATCAACCAATAACAAATGCTGGCGGGGCTGTGGGGAAAGAGGAACCCTGCTCCACTGCTGGTGGGAGTGTAGACTGGTGCTACCACTGTGGAAATCAGTATGGAGATACCTCCAAGAACTAGGACTGGAAGTCCCATTTGACCCAGCTATTCCCCTGCTGGGTATCTTCCCCAAAGAATTAAAAGAATCATACCATGATTATATACATATACTGTGATATATGTGCACCCATGTTCATAGCAGCGCAGTTTGTAATAGCCAAAATTTGGAAGCAGCGCAACTGCCCATCAACTGGAGACTGGATAAAGAAAATGTGGTTTTTAAAATAAAATGGAGTACTACTCAACCATAAAAAACAAAAAATTAGAGACATTTATTGCTAAATGGATGCACATTAAGGCGATGCTCTTTATTTTATTTTATTTTATTTTTTTGGTACCCGGGATCAAACTCGGGTCCTTGGGCTTGCGCAGCAGGCAGCGATACCACTGAGCTAAATCTCCGGTCCAAGGTGATACTAAGTGAAATAAATAGGACACACGTGTAAATACCAAATAGTTTCTCTAGTGTGAGAAACTGAGTGTAAATAAAGACTAAAAGATATAACAGATAAGGTGAAATAGGAAGAAAAGGGGCAAAAGGGAAGGGGAAGTGGGAGGGGTAGGGGGAAGGAAAGACGGGAATGGAATTCATATGAGCAAATGAAAAAAAGCAAACAAAGTCTTTGTAAATAGGGAGGGATGGAGGGGTTGAAGGGAGGGCAGGGGAAGGAGGAAAATATAAGAACCAAGAGAGATTATATAAAGGTGCAAATTTCCAATGATGTATGTCATTTTATTGTACACCTAAAACGTACAAATAAAAGGATACATATAAAAAAATACAATAAAGGCTGCTTTCTGCTTTTGCTCTATAATACTTTTGCTCAGTGCATACTATACTCTCTGCCTTTGCCTAATAAACCCTACTCATTTTTCAGGCATATCCTGAATATTCTTTTTCTGTGATGGGAGTCAGCAAGCCTTCTACAGTGGGACAGGTTAAGTTTGGGAAACACAGCAACCCAGGCCAGTGACACCTACATTTGGGAAAGTCCCTCTCCTCTACCAACTTGAGAAGCTGGATGGCTGAGTTTGCAAACCTTCTCAAGGCAAGCCTTCCTTCTAGGACAGGTGCAAAGCTGAAAGCTGAAAACTGTAGGTAGTAACACATTTAATGGTCCTGTTATCAGCAGGAAAATGACAAGCTTGCCCCCTGGTGACAAGTTAGGAGGTAACAGAAAAAGCAAATATTCCTACAAGAAAAGGCACAAACACCATGAAGAACATACTCTACCTTACTTAGAATCTGGAGAGAGCACTAATAAAACAAACTACAAACCAATCAAAATGGTTTATTCATAGGAACAGCTAAAAAAAGTTCAGTTTCAGTGGGACACGTCACAAAATCTTTCTACAAATTCCTAGCTAGAGTTGTTCTGGGAATAATGTTTCCTCAGCATGAGGACCAGTGCCAGGTGAATGGCCTGGAGATGCTAATTGTTTTCTGCTTTTATTAAATTTTTTTTTGAGATGAGGTCTCACTATGTAGTCCAGGCTGGCCTTGAACTCATGACACAGCCTAGACTGGCCTCAAACTCATGGCAATCCTCCTACCTTAGCCTCCAAGTGCTAGGATTACAGGTGTGTGACATTACACCTGGCTGAGACACTAATTTTAACCGTGAATACCTTCTAGAAGGCAGGCTTATGTTTCATCTTCTTCAGTAACCCTGATGTTTAATCACCTTTAACCTTTATGTCACACATCCCTCCTGATCTCTACGAATTTATAGGTTGAAAAAGAAAGCCTACACCAATGATTACATAAATCAGAGGGTGGCAGTCATGACTATTTAATTGTTGTTCTTAGCCCCTTAAGACTTATATTATGTAATCCAAGATATTTTCTGATTTTTCAAGCCTTCCAGCTAAAATAATACTAACAATGAATACGATGTCTGATTCCTTCAGGGCTTGTGGCTGCTAATTTTTCCAACTTTCTGCTATTTGTCTCCTCACTACCCAAATTCCTATTGCTCTTTAGTTTGCTGCTACTTTTGACAGAGCTGCAAGAGTTTGAAAATTAAGACTCCGTAACGGTGGTTTTCTTCACAGAATTCAACCAGATAAAGGATTATTGACTGAAATACACAATGTAGGCCACATCCCAGTAGATGACACTCTGGGATAAATGGATCCATGTAATCAGAGCTGCTGAAATCAAGTCCCAAGTTCTGCTCCAGGAGGTTATCTGTCAAGGGCTGCATCAGGTCTCAGACAGAAGATGCCAGCAAGCAACCATCATAGGCCTTTGTGTAGTAGTCCCTGGCCTTCCCCAGGTCAGGCTGGCCATCCTCATTGACCTCTCCATTGCGAGTCAGGAGACCGACATTGTGACAGGCTTGCACAGACTTCTTGCCGGGCTTCTCACACGCCATCAGAAAGCAGCTAAAGGCAGCTTTCAGGTCCTGAGTCAGTCCACCTTTTCCAGTTATGTAATAGGCCCCCAGTTTGTAGCAGCTATCACTGTTTTTTGTCTTTACAGTTGAACTTCAGCACCTTAACAGCTTCATCGAAATTCCTTTGGATCCCTTCCAGATAGTCCACCAGCTGATAGCAACCGTTCGGGTCCTCTTCTTGGTAGCACTGGTAGTTGCACTCCACCTCCATGTTCTCCAGAAAGGACTTCACCTGCTCCTCATCCTGGAAGTCCACCAAGCCAGCTATGGCCCCAGCTGGCTCAACGCACTTCTTGTTATTTTTAAAGCTGTGTTAAGTAGGACCTTGATTTTAAGGCCTTGAAAGCAAGAAATGTGGATTTAACTGAATGGGTAACTGTTCTGTGTATCCCAGCAAAAGAGCTGCCTGCAGAAGGAAAACTACATCGATCTCATATTTTCTCCCCTTACCCTCCTGCCATAGCCTCCCAGAGTGCTGGGCTTGTACGTGCATGCACCACCATGCTTGATTTTGCTT